TGATCCAAGGGGCCGTCGAGGCTTGATCTCGGATGAATGGTTGGAAGTTTCTTCAAGATGGCCTTTTGGGCTTGATCTTGAAGGTTGATGGATGAACAGATCTTCAAGGGCTTTTGGGCTTGATCTTGAAGAACTATTGATGAACAAATCTTCAAATGACCTTTGAGGCTTGATCTTGATGAACAGTTGATGGATGAATCTTCAAGGGCTTTTGGGCTTGATCTTGAAAAACTTTTGATGAACGGATCTTCAAGGGCCTTTGGGGCTTGATCTTGATGAACAGTTGATGAATGGATCTTCAAGGGTTTTTGGGCTTTATCTTGAAGAACGGTTGGATGTGTGATTTGTTGATGTTGTTAATCCAAAAGGCCGTTGGGGCTTGATCTTAGGATGAACGGATGATGAACGATGAATACTTTCTTCAAAGGCCGCCGGGGCTTGATCTTGAATTGGTGGAAGTTCCTTCAAAGGGCCGTTGGGGCTTGATCTTGAAGGTTGGGTTGACGAAGAACGAAGAGAGCTTTCTTGATCCTTCGGGATTTGCTTGGGAGCTTTGGAGTTTTAAAGCTTCAAGGTTTTAGTGTGAGGTGAATTGGTTATGAATTGGTTTTTTCAAATGAATGCCTTGGCTTCATATTTATAGAATTCCAAAACTTGATTTTTGGGTTTAAATAATCAGATGAAATAAATCATTTCTGCCAAGCGTTGACACGTGTCATGTTTGATGACTTTTCTGATGATTCTCGATTTTTTGTTGAGTCACATGCTATGTGTAAAATTTATGTGACACGTGAACGTTGAAATTCTAATTATTGATCAACATTTATTTCACCGAAATTTTGATGTCTACAATAACGTATCAAAGTTTGGTGACGATCCAACGGTCGGATCGTCAATTCATATTTTGGCCTAAACACGAATCGTAACGAATTTAGGTTCGAATGATCATCATACGTCATTCATTCACCAAAAATGAAATTAGAGCATGAATTATGGCCTAAAAATAGCTTTGGCAGCTCACTGGCCACGTGCCGCCGCACGCACTGCCGTGGATGGCTGTCGGCAGCCCCGGCTCGTCGGAAAATCCAACTATTTCAAAAACTTACCAAAATTTACAGAAATGAAGATCTCAATGAGTAGAGTAAACTTTATACCTGTGGCCAAGGCCAATTTGGCCTGGAAAGGCTCCAATTTCATCAAACCCGTGAAGAACCCTAGAAATGGGTGTTTTCAATTCGACCTCCAAAACCACTTAGATGCTCCAACTAATGCTTGGGCTTTATTCCAGGTCCTAAGGGAATGCTAATGGTGTTAGTAATTGAAAGAAAACGTTTCAAGATTTGAAGAATTTGTACACTAAGTCACCGCACACACCATACGGTTTCATCCAATTTCAAGGCCAAATTCTTTGATTTTTGGGGTGTAATAGGAAGAGGGAAGATCATAGAGGGTTTTCCAAGTGATGGTTTGAAGTAACTCACCGGAAAAATGAAAAATTTTCGACGAAAACGGGTAGAAAACCCACCGGGTCGCGCGGGTCGCAGGTTGAAACCCATTTCTGTTCTTCTTCCTCCGCTTCTCGCCCTCTCTCCTTTCCTCCTTTCCCCTTATCTGATTGGCCAGAAACTTCTCTCTCTTCTCCCTATTCGCCCAACTTCTCTCCCGAAACTCTCCCGGAGCTGTCTTCTTCTTCCTTCTGGTTGTGCAATTTTGCCCAATCCTCTTTCTTCTTTTCTCCACCAGTCACGCGCGCACACACACACACACAAAACCTTCCTTCATTTTTTTATTTTTATTTTCTTTCCCTTACATCCGAACCATCCATTTCAGATTTCCTTTAATCTGGGCCATCCAAATGGCACACCAAATTTTTATAATAAAATTCATAAAATGCTCAAACTTCAAACTTTAAAATCTTTTTCGTTATAACTCCAAATCACGAACCGTCTGCGCCCACGCTTCCCTAGTGACGAGTACTACGAGGATATTTCAAAGAAAACAAATCTTAGATGGCATGACACAACGATTAACCTCGAATAATGCGCGTGCCTCAAAGGGCATTTTTGTAAAATCCTTTATTAAAACTTTAAAAACTCTTAAAATCAGGGACGGGCTGTCACAGAGATACCCATTTTTTTTTTCCACAAATACCAATATAGAGGCTAAAAGACACTACGATATTAAATTCATATGCGGTCGAGATATTTATGAATTTAATCATTAAAATGCATAAGCTCAATTATACATTCAAGTTAGATCAATTCCTGAAGTTTTGCTCCACAATAAAAATTGCTTAGCTATGAGTTCGCCTTTAAACGTGCAAAGGTGATATACTTTTTAGCCACAGTTCAATGTAATGTGAATTGTTGTCCACAATTTTTGTATCTAATAAATATCCACGGTTTCGACTGAAAAAAAAATATCCACGGTTAAAAATATCCATTGATCTACCAAAAGTTAATTTCCTGGTTAATTTCCAAGTCTCCCTCCATAGTCAATTGAACTTTTTTTTTGTTTATCCTACCTTGCTTGATCACCAACAACTTAAGAGAAAATCGAACTTTGTATTGCTTGTTTTCTGAATCTCTTTATTTTGGGTTCCAAATTTAATAGTGTCTCACTTCCATTATCATCCATCCAATCTACAAAATAAATTGAGTCATTGGTTCAAAACTTTCGTTTGTCTTTATGCCTTTGTCTCCTTTCCAAACTTGCCTTCACAATTAGGATAAGAAACAATATTTTCTACCTGCATTGTGGTTGGTGGGTTATTTATGTCACCATATGAAAGCTTCCCAGACATGGTGATGCAGTTTCCTGGTTAATTTCCAAGTGTCCCTCCACAGTTAATTGAACATTTTTTGTTTATCCTATCTTGCTTGATCACCAATAATGTAAGAGACAATCGAACTTTGTATTGCTTGTTTTTCTGAATCTCTTTATTTTGGGTTGCAAATTTAAGAATGTCTCACTTTTTTGTTATCATCCATCTAACCAAAAAAATAAATATAGTCAAGTCAATGGTCTCTTTTTATTAATTTTTAATCTTTCCTCCCACTTTTATTCTTTTATTATTTAATAAAATTCGGAAATTGGGGATTGACTGGGACTATTGTTTTATCGGAAATTAACTCTTTCTAATTACTCTGAGCATAAAGAAAGTAGTCTATTTTATAATTGATGACTAATCCAGATGTCTCAATTCTTTTTTACCGTCTTGTGCTGGTTTAGAGAGTAAAACTACTACTGTAATTTTTAGACCATATATACCATATATGTAGTGTAGTTTGATTAGCATAATCCATTATATATCATCTTTCCAACCAAAAAAATAAATTGAGTCAAGTCAATAGTCTCTTTTTATTGATTTTTAATTCTTCATTTGGCAATATGATTATTGAAGTTGATCCGTAATTCAAAACCAAGAACGTGCTTACAATTTTATATTACGTTGTCATGAAGCACACCATATGTGAATTTGACCTTGGATGATTTAGAATCTGTTATTGTTAATCTTTTTTTTATATTTTAATCAATTTTTCTCACATTTTCAAAGTTACATTGTCTGGTTTGCTGGTAGTGGGGGAGCTTTTTGACTGGGGCGGCCTAGGAACAGTTATCAGTGTGCTCTACGACATCTTCAAGGAGGTGAAGGCAAAGACGTCCATGTTCAAACCCTCTTGGATGCCCAATTCTATTTTGATTTCCTTTAGTTTGATCATGATGACTAGTGGTTGGTCTATGAATTATTTTTGAGGAGCTAATGAGTAAAAGTAGTACTCAACTTTCTTTTAGAGCACATATATTAGCTGAAATTCTCTTATGCACATATTTTTTCACGAATGAACTGTTGAAACCTCATATCTGACCTGCTTTGAGGATTGCAAGACGACAAAAATGTATAGGCTCAAGTGCACAATATGGGCTAAAACTTTTGCGGTTCGAAGACTTTTGAATCTAGTTAGATCATATCTTTAAGAGAAACTCTAATTTTTTTTTAGTATACTGCCGATTTGCTCCCTAAACTATCACCCAACTTTCGATTTTCCCCCTGAACTTTTTAATTGGAAAATTAAGGACTTAAACTAATTTTTTTGGCCGATTTGCCCCTGTTAATTTTTCATTCATTCCATCCAAATTTTTGTTAAATGGAAGCATATGCACAACATGTGTGGGTAGTTCGGTCGCTTCATTCTTTAAAATAATTGAAAACCTTAGATTTCTAAAATATAAACCTATGCAAATATGTGTGATTCTATAGCTTTTGTATCTAAAGGTCTAGTGAAATGACACTTTTGTCCACAAATGAGAGTTACGTGGTTTGCACATGATAAGAGTTAACGTTAATTTGGATGAAATCTATGAAAAACTAACTATAGGGGGGAAATTGGCCAAAAAAAATTAGTTTAAGTCCTTAATTTTCCAATTAAAAAGTTCAGGGGGGAAATTGAAAGTTGGGTGATAGTTCAGGGGGCAAATCGACAGTTTACTCATTTTTTTTAAACTAGCGAGTGAACAGTATAAAAATATTATTTTAGCTACTCAACTTAATTTTTCATCTCCAACAACACTTTATTTTAACAAATTTTAAATATTTTATTATTAAAAATTCAAATTCAACCCACTCATTTTGTAGAACAATATTCCCTCTTCATACCCTCCAATGTTATTTTTTTTTTTTTACATTTAGCAAGTGAATAGCTGCACTTTAAATTTAAAGAGCGATCGTTCATTTTGTTATAATAGAGACTCTTTGACAACATCTCTTTGAGATGAATTTTTTGAGTTTTGCTCTTTAAAACATAGTGTTTAGAGTGTTGATTGTTTTACAACTAAAAAATACGAAATTCCAATTTTCCTGTTAGTGTGGTGGTACAAAAATTATAGAAAATAAATTTAAAAGGGTAGATCAGTAAAATTGCCTATATGGTAGCAGTTAAAGTTACCTTTTGGGTAAAAACTTCCCTTTGTTACTTTCACTAGTTCTTTCAGAGAAAAGAAGCACCACCGGAGTGGTTGTTGAGTTGGAAAAGGAAACGCAATTGAAAGGTTCCAACTTGCGATGGATTGCGAGTGAACACAACACTTTTCAGAAAGGGATGGAAAATGGGTTTGTGGTAGGCGGATTCCTTGTCCCCAAAGAAAGAAATAGAAGAAATGCCCCCATGCACACCAACTGTTTGCGTTGCGGTCCAGAAAATTTTAAATTATTTCAAATATTATTTTATCTTATTTATTTATCGGAAGCCATGAGTGTGATATTTTGGTTATCGGAAGCCATGAGTGTGATATTTTGGTTAGCGGAAGCTTCTTCTTGGTCAGTCAATGCAAAATGTATTAGTTTCGAAGTTTCCCAGAAAGCAGCTTTGCAATTTGCAGGTAGGTAAAAGCAAAGTCAATGGATTCAACTAAGCCTCCTATGGAATCAGGATCGGATTGTTCCTTATATTAAGAGCATTTTTATTTGGGTTTTTTCATACTACTATGTTCTCCTCTTGTCTTCAAATTTTGATTGAAATAATTGCAAGTTAGTTTTCGGATTTTTCGGTGTCGGGTTTTGTTTGAGGGAAGCTGGAATGGCAGAAGTTGGGGGGCTTTTTGCAGGGGCTGCTGTTGGAACATTGTTTACTCTGCTGTATGATGTTGTTAAGGATGTCAAGGACAAGACTATGATGTTTAAGGAGCTCCTCGGAGATCTCAATTCCACGCTAGAAGCGTTAAAGCCGCTGATCTATGACATAGCGAAGTACAATGCGGTGTTGGATCAATCAAACAAGGAAGTAGAAAAAATTCTGAAACAAATGAAGAATGGGAAAGAGTTAGTTCTCGAGTGCTCCAAGCCAAGCCGGTGGAAACTCTTCAAAAAGTATAAATACACCGAGCGACTTCTCAATTTGGACAAGTGTCTGAAAAGGTTGTTGATGATACTGGCGGTGGAGGGAACAAGGAATACGTTTGAGAACTTGGCTGTTTCAAGGGAGATAGTTGGTGTTGTGAGGGAGGACTTGGCTGTTGCAAGGGTGACATTTGGTGTTGCGAGGGAGAACTTGGCTGTTTCAAGGGAGTCATTTGGTGTTGCGAGGGCGAACTTGGCTGTTTCAGGGGAGACATTTGGTGTTGCCAGCGAGAACTTGGTTGTTTCAAGGGAGACGTTTGGTGTTTCGAGTGAGACCTTGGCTGCTGCGAAGGAGATCTTGGCTGCTGTCCAGAAAAATGGTTCGGTAGGAAACATAGAGAATGTTGTGATACAAAAGCAAGAAGAATTTCATGATTTGGGTTCAGTTCCAGAACCTCCACATGTTACAGTTGGATTGGATGAGCCTTTGAGGTATATGAAGAAGATGCTTCTGAAGGGCGATGTCTCAATGTTAGTGCTGACTGCTACGGGAGGATGCGGGAAAACCACATTGGCAATGAAATTCTGTCAAGATGAGGACGTCAAAGGTATGATATTACTTTCTAATAGCTATTTGAGAAGTGTTATATTAGAATTAATCTGTAATTTAACATCTTTTTCTCTCTATTAGTACGACTAGTATGTTATAGATGTCATTCGTTGAGTTGAAGCCTTTTGAATGAGTTTACAGCCTATTTATATCAAATCAAACCCAGCTTCAGATATATATAACACCAAGTTAATCCAAAGTGTAATATTTCAATTGCTTGAATATTATGTCTTATTGGATATTAGTCTCACTCATGCATTATATCAGTAAGGAATCGTCCCCATTGCTGATATACAGTTCATATCTGAGTCTTACATGAATATAAATGGAAAACCTCATGGGTAGGAATTTACTACACTAGCTTCATGATTGAACTACGTTCCATTATGACAGCTACTTTACTCGTTTCATACTCTTTGCATATACTAAGGCTGTACTTGAGATCAAGGTTTAATTTTTCTACCTCAATGTTACCATCGTGTATTGTTCTTTGTTTACACATTTATCTAACATATTTCTTGTATTGTATTTTGATAGGTAAATTCAAGGAAAATATATTCTTTGTCACTGTTTCGGAACACCCCAACTCAGATGTAGAAAAGCTATATCAACGCATAAAGTCTCAGGAAGCGGGACAAGATCTACTGTTGGTCCTGGATGATGTTTGGTCCAACACTGTTCTTCAGAAGTTTGTTGAATTGAAGTTGCAAAATTACAAGATCTTGGTGACATCGAGATCTGAATTTCCAGGATTTGGCACTCCGTATAAACTCAAACCTTTGGAGTACAAAGATTCAATGACTCTTTTGCGTCATTCAGCAGCCCTGGGAGATAGCTTGTCTGTTCCAGAAGATCTCCTGAGAGAGGTTTATTTCTCACTATGCAATTCACGACACAATATACTTATCAAGGCCTCACAAATTATAGGGCAACAAAGTGGGGATAAGAAATTGTTTTGATCTTTTACGATCAGTATACAAATACAAGTATGCACATACAGAAGCGAACACCCATTTTACCATATGAACGTGCAAATGATCATTCACGAATCACATATGATTTTAATTATGAACTAAAACTAAAATAAGAATCAAGATAACTAGGTAGTCATTAACCATTTTCATGAAACCATTGAGATGTTAAAAGAAACTTGAACTTACAGTCTGCAACTCAGATGGTAGTTGACATCATTTGGTACAACTAACCTGCAGATACTAAAGCACTGTAAGGGAGTTCCGCTTGCCATTACAGTGACCGGGAACTCACTTAGTGGACAAGCAGCAGAATCCTGGCTTTCAAGACTAGAAGACTGGCGTAGAGGTTCTATTCTTGATTATGAGACTAAGTTGCTTCTTTGCCTTAAAAGTAGCATAGATGCCTTAGGTGACAAAGAGCCTATCATCAGGGAATGTTTCATGGACCTTGTTTCATTTCCTGAAGATCAAAGAATCTCTGCTGCTGCTTTCATGATATGTGGTCAGAGTTATATATGCTAGATGGGGACTTTCGGTCCATCAAGAACCTCCACGAGCTCGCCAGGAAAGGTCTGGCAAATCTTGTGATCACTAGGTACGCAAGATTTTATGCTTCTCCAGTACAATATTCTCTTTGAAAATTTCTATATTCATGAGTAGCTCCTACCATAATATACAACTGCAAGTCTGCAACTGACTGAGTTTGCATTGTTACCAGGAATGAGAATATGGCGATTCTGGATAACTACTATAGCGAACACTTTGTTCGCCAGCATGATATGCTTAGAGATCTGGGTATCTACATTGCGAAACTAGACCCAATAGAAGATAGAAAAAGACTGATTGTCGTAAGTGGACGCAATCAACCCAAGTGGTTGAGGGAGCAGAAGTCTCAACCCATCAATGCTCGCCTATTATCTATCTCCTCTGGTTGTCCCATCTCTCTCTCTTTATAAAATGCATATACATGCATCTACCTATGACCAGCATATGTACACACGCATACATACACATTCGTGCATGCTCACATCCAAACACACACACACACACACACACACTCAGATTTGAATAGCACTATCATTTATTTTCTCCACACACATCAACACATAAACAAGTACATGCATATGTACACACGCAAATGCACGTGCACACACAGACACACACGCTAAAATATGCAGTAAAGTTTCATTTAATTCTCACCTACTCATATCTCGTAGCATATGTTTGCAGATGGAACGTACCCAACACAATGGCAGAGTGTTCATCTACCACAAGTTGAGGTTCTAGTTTTGAATTTTAAGACAGAGAACAATGCCTTACCTGAATTTGTGCAGAAAATTGACAAACTGAAGGTTCTAATAGTCACAAACTATGGTTTATCACCTACTGAATTGAGTAATTTTAATCTTCTGGAATCATTATCAAATCTGAAGAGAATCAGATTAGAGAGCATTTCAATTCATTCCATAACCAAGAACTGGGTACCATTGAAGAGTCTAAAGAAGATATCGTTATTCATGTGTAATATGGGTCAAGCTTTCCACAATTGTTCCATCAAAATTTCTGATGCCTGGCCAGGTCTAGAGGAAATGAATATCGACTATTGCGATGATTTGGTGGAACTGCCTGCCGAGCTCTGTGATCTTGTTCATATGAAGGTGCTTAGTATCACCAACTGCCATCAGCTATCTTGCTTGCCTGAAGAGATCGGAAATCTGAAGAATTTGGATGTATTGAGACTAAGGTCCTGTACAGAGTTGGTAAGGCTTCCGGTTTCAATTGAAAACCTCACTAAGTTGCGCTGCCTTGACATGTATAATTGTTTCGGCATTAGGAAGTTGCCTGAAGGCATTGGTAAGATGAGAGGTTTAAGAAAGATCAACATGGGACAATGCTCAAGATTGGAGGAGTTGCCTCTATCAGTGTGGGATCTTGACGAGCAGTTAGAGGAAGTGATTTGTGATGAAGAGAAGAAACCTTTCTGGGATTCCTTCTTAGCCAGAGACAAAATCAAGGTGACAAAAGAAAAATCCAATCTGAATTGGCTCGAAAAGCCTCAGTTATGAGACCTGTCTTTCCTCAATAAATGTTGGAGCAACATGTTTCTGATTTGTGTTGCATTGTTTTTCTCAATAAATGTTTCGTTCTTGGTTCTGTCCAATTTCTATGTTTCATCATATGAGTTTGTAATACTATTTATTTCAAACTCTGTTGAGTCTTAAGATATTTTGTGGTGTTGTTTTTTTGTATAATTATCATGTTATTGTTTTACACAACATAAATAATGTGTATTATATTTTCTTGGATTATACGAAACAAAATGTGTTTTAACTGCACCTAATATGTTAATTATGCATTTGGTTATATCTATGGTCGGCCCCTCGACCTGCAATATGGTTGGTGGGTCATCTCTGTCACCATATGAAAGATTCCCAGACATGGTGATGCAGTTTCCTGGTTAATTTCCAAGTCTCCCTCCACAGTCAATTGAACTTCTTTTTGTTTATCCTACCCTGCTTAATCACCAACAACGGAAGAGAAAATCGAACTTTGTATTGCTTGTTTTCTGAATCTCTTTATTTAGGGTTCCAAATTTAAGAGTGTCACACTTTTTCATTATCATCCATCCAATCTAAAAAATAAATTGAGTCAGTGGTCTCTTTTTATTAATTTTTAACACATGTTTTCTTTTATTATCATTTTTATTATTTAATAAAATTGAGAGATAGGGATTGGGAACTATTGTTTTATTGGGAAATTATCTCTTTCTAATTGTTCTAAGCGGAAAGGAAGTAACCTACTTTATAGTTGATGGCTAATCTCGAAGTCTTGGTTCTTTTTTACTGTCTTGTGTTGTTGTAGAGAGTAAAGCTACTATTGTAATCGGACGACCAACTTTATGTGTAGTTCTACCCGCCTAATCCATTATCATCCGACCAACTCTTTTTATTTATTTTTAATTCTTTCTCGCACCTGTATTCTTGAGTATTCTTTTTTATTGTTTAATACAATTTGGAGATAGGGGATTGAGAATTGTTGTTCTGTCTGGGAATTAGCTCTTTCTAATTGCTCTAAGTGGGAAGGAAGTAGTCTATTTTATAGTTGGTGACTAATCCCCATGTCTTGGTTCCTTTTTACTGTCTTGTGCTAGTTTTAGAGAATAAAGCTACTATTGTAATCTGACGACCAAACTTTATATGAAGTATAGTTCGATTTGCCTATCCATTGTCATCCTTCCAACAAAAAAACAAATAGAGTAAGTCAATGGTCTCTTTAAAATAAAGTTTTGATTGAATGAATCAAGTTTTGAGTTTTGCTCTTTTAAAATAAAGTTTTGATTTTTTACAGCTAAAAATACGAAATTCTTAATTGAATACACCCTTAAGTTTAAAAGGGTAGATCAGTAAATTGCCTACATGTTAGGAGTTAAAGTTACTTTTTTGGGTTAAATCTTCCTCTTGTTACTGTTACTAGTTTTTTATAAGAAAAGAACCACCACCGTCGTGGTTGTTGAGTTGGAAGTGAGTGGTGACTGGAGAGAGGAAACACAATTGAAAGGTTCCAACTTGCAGCTGATTGCGAGTGAACACAACAGTTTTCAAAAAAGGGATGGAAAATGGGTTTCTGGTAGACGGATTCCTTGTCCACAAAGAAATAAAAAGAGAAATCCTCCCATGCACACCAATTGTTTTGCGTTGCGGTCCACAAAATTGGAAAAAGAAAAAGATGCAGGCTTCATCAGATCAACGATTGCAGGATAAATTTAAATTTTAAAATTATTTAAAATATTATTTTTATTATATTAAAATTTATCTTTGGATCATTGCATTGTAATTACGCTCTTATCGGAAGCCATGAGTGCGCTATTTTGGTTAGCGGAAGCTTCTTCTTGGTCAGTCAATGGCAAAGTCAATATATTATTTTTGAAGTTTCCCACAAAGCAGCTTTGCAATTTGCTTGGTAGGTCAATAAGGTAGGTAAAAGTAATAGTCACTGGATTCAACTAAGAAATTCATAGCTTCCTATTGAAGCAAAATCGGATTCTTCCTTATATCAAGAGCATTTTATTTGGTTTTTTTTCATACTGCTATGTTCTTCTCTTGTCCTCAAGTTTTGATTGAAACGATTACAAGTTAGTTGCGGATTTTTCGATGTCGGGTTTTGCTTAAGAGCAGCAAGAATAGGAGGAGTTGGGGACCTTTTTGCAGGCGCTGTTGTAGGAAATGGTTTACCGAGCTGTATGAGGTTGTTAAGGATGGAATTGGATCCCATCCGGATCCACTTTGTGGGAATTTTAGAGATCCCCACATCTTAATCATTCATCGTGTATCGTGCGATCAACAATCATTTAACTTTTTTTATTTAAAATTAAACACAAATAGAATCTGACGAAAACTGGCTGCACGATATAGGATGAATGATTAAGATGTAGAGATCCTATGTGGGGATCCCTAGGATCCCCACAAAGTGGATTCGGAGAGGATCCCTTTCCATTAAGGATGTCAAGGACAAGACTGATGTTTGCAGAGCTCCTCGTAGCTCCAAATTACTAGTTTTGTCCCTGGTGTTCCTTCCATGACAATTTATAAATAGGTCCCACATTTATCACATCAATTTTGCGAAGGGCTAGATAGTCAGAGTGACTGAAAACATAAATTGATGAGATCCAAAAACCTCTTGGTACAATGTGAGAAATTAGAAACTCGTGACCCATTTTGAAACTCATTTTAAACCTAATGGGTGTAAAATGTAGTTAGTCCTAAAGTTAACATACTATAATTTATATGAAAGTATGGAACATGAAAAAACTGACATGAAACTTCAACAAATATGGCATACCAAAGTAGGCTAGAATGGCACAATAATGATAAAAGAAACGCAAGTTCATAGCGCGCGGAAGTTGCTAATGCCTTAGCTTCTTTCAGTGCGGCTGCTAGTGCCTATAAGTCTATAAATGTTGGACGACTGTTATAGATTTTGTAGTTATCGCTTATACTTGTGACCTTGAGTTTCGTCCTGTTTTTCATTTTCGTTGTTTGTTTTTCTCTTCGGGGGTTTGGGTTGCGTTCCCCCGCCTATATTCTTTTATTATCGTTTTTATTATTTAATAAAATTCGGAGATAGGGGACTGGAGGATGTTGTTCTATCGGAGAATTCGCTCTTTCTAATCGCTTTGAGCGGGAAGAAAGTAGCCTACTTTGTTGTTGATGGCTAATCTTGATGTCTTGGTTCATTTTTACTGCCTTGTGCTGGTTTAGAGAGTAAAACTACTATTATAATCCGACAACCAAACCTTATATATAGTGTAGTTCGACTTGCCTGATCCATTATCATCCTTTGAGCAAAAAAAAAAACAAATAGTCAAGTCAATGGTCCCTTTTTATTGATTTTTATTTCTTCATTTGGCAATAGGATTATTGGAGTTGGTTTATAATTCAAAACCAAGAGCATCTGCGCATTTTTTTTTATAAATAAAGATCTTACATCGTTCTTCAATTTATCCATTTTCAATTCATGAGCTCTATATTCCCAGTATCTGCGCATTTTTTTTAAGAACAAAAATATAAAAGAAACCAAACACCCTCACCCTCACCCAAAAACCCCCAATTAAAAGAAAGAAAAAAAAAAAAAAAAAAACCTTATACGCCTATAAATATGTGGGTTATTCATGTCAAGTTCACATGATCAAATCAACTATTGTATAAAGAGCGAAAAGAAACTTACAGATTCTTGGTTGCTTTCCATGATAAAATTGGAGAGGGTGCATATTTTTATTTTATTTTTTTAAGGAAAGAAAGAAATAGAACTAGGAGAGAGTAAGAAGTGGGAGAGACAGTGAACACCAACAGCCCCAACAGCAAAACAAAGTAGAGGGAAATTTGGGGAAAAAAATAGGGGGAAAGAAGAAAAAAACAAAAGGAAACATTAGATTGATCCATATTATATATTAATTAGTAGGAAAAATAATTATGAGAATTTTAAATATAAAATAATGATAAAATATTATATTTAAGACTTGTCACGTGATGAGTTTTGAGTGTATTATAGTGTTACTCAATGAAATCCAATGATAAGTCAAGCTCTACAAAAAAATTTCTCCTAAAGAACACCCAAGGCTTGTTCAAACAAAAAACTGGACAAAATAGTAAAATATGTGCATTATCCATGTGAGGAATATAAGTATTATCGAAAGAGAAATGGTTTACAATCCAACAAAAAGTAGGTAAGAATTTAGAGTTTATGGGCTCACTTTTTTGGGTGCTAGCTAATGCATTAGAGAATAAATAGTCTTGGAAACCGACTTGCAAGTGCAGAAAAGAAATGGTTTGCCAATGGAAGTAAATTTATTAGTTCATCCAAATTGCTCATTGGTTCAAAACTTTCGTTTGTCTTTATGCTTTTGTTTCCTTTCGAAACTTGCCTTCACAATTTAATAGGATAAGAAACAATATTTTATAACAAAAGTACAATTCTTGTCCACCTTTTACCGGATCAGGATCCTCTTCTGAGCAAATGGAGAGGATCTTCCTGATCAGGTCTATCGGGCCGTTCAAATTTTATCCAACGACTATAATTATTATAACTTTTAGAGGAGTCCTCTATTTGTAGCCGTTGGATAAAATTTGAATGGTCCAATGGGCCTGATCAGAAGGATCCTCTCCATTTGCTCAGGAGAGGATCCTGATCCCCTTTTACCTGCATTGTGGTTGGTGGGTTATCTCTGTCACCATATGAAAGCTTCCCATACATGGTGATCCAGTTTCCTGGTCAATTCCAAGTCTCCCTCCACAGTCAATCGAACTTTTTTCGTTTTCCTATCTTGCTTGATCACAACAACGTAAGAGAAAATCAAACTTTTGTATTGCTTGTTTTCTGAATCTCTTTATTTTGAGTTCCAAATTTAAGAATGTCTCATTTTTTTCGTTATCATCCATCCAACAAAAATAAAATAAAATAAAATAAAGTCAAGTCAATGTCTCTTTTTATTGATTTTTAATTTTTCCTCCCACTTCTATTCTTTTACTATTGTTTTTAATAATTTAACAAAATTTGGAAATTGGGGATTGGCCTGGACTATTGTTCTATTAGCTCTTTCTAATTGCTTTGAGCAAGAAGAAAGTAACCTATTTGTTGATGGCCAATCCAGATGTCTCGGTTCCTTTTTGCTATCTTTTGTTGATATAGAGAGTAAAACTACTATTGTTATCCGAAAACCATACCATATATGTAGTATAGTTTGATTAGCCTAATCCATTATATATCATCTTTCCAACCAAAAAAATAAATTGAGTCAAGTCAATGGTCT